GAGACATAATCCAGCAGTGACGAGGAGAGCAGATAGAGCCGAGATCGGTTTCATTCCATGCGAGTGACCGACGGATGGCTCGACGACAGCGACAGCAACAGAGACGAGGGAAGCAACAGCAACGGCGAGAGATACTTCTGGATAGAAGAGGAGGAGGAGGAGAACAAGGTGTACTTACGGTTAATCACTACAGTGGCTGCTGCGCTATACTGTAACTTTGGGTAAGCAACTACAGTGTTCCCCCGGTCCTTGAGACACCCCCGATCCTTGAGACAGACACCCTCACTGACCGCAGATCGGCTCTTAAATTCGCGAAAAAATGTGTAATAGGTCAGTACAATGAAGGAACTTCCTAGGACGATGTTTCTGTGGTGTGAGGTGGCGCGAATGTCTGGCTATTCTGCGATAGTATGTCGGAAACTGACTTTCACAATAGAATCGCCTGCCTTTAGTAGGATGATCATAGTCTTTCAGTCCGGACGCATCCAGGAATCATTTCTATAAGATACAAGTGAGTCTCGGATTATTGGCAGGATGTCAGATACTGTCTGTCTTGAGACCGGAATGCCGGTCATTCGAGGGCGACATAGGAGCTGTAGCGCTGAGGATCCTAGCGCATGGGAATGCTGACATGTCGACCCAAAAAGGCGATTATGGCTGTCTCAAGGAGTGGGGGACGCCTGTTCTTCATATGTTCACTGTGCTGTCTCTTCCGCACTCACTTCTTGACATATCCGCTCAAGAAATATTCTGACAGTGCTCGAGTACCTCACGAATGCTTTCAGAACATTAACAGTTGATAGAACACGAAGGGAGCATCGAGATCAGTGTCCAGAATTCCGTGTCTCAAGGACCGGGGGAACACTGTATAAGTAACTGTAAGGCAACTGTAGGTGACCCTGAGGCGACTATAAGTAGGGAAATCTTTTGCGAAGCGTGATAGGTAACGTTTGTTTGGTAGCAGTGTCACGGCCCAATGGTCTAGTAGTATGATACGTGCTTCGGGTTGTTCAAACTCGGTGGTTCAGCCACTTCAATTGCACGGGGTCCCGGGTTCAATTCCCGGTTGGGCCCTTTTTGTTAGCTCCCTACAAGCTGTGTCCGAACTTTGAAGTTTCGATTAGTTACTGTTTTGAACTTCCGATTACTACTGTAAGGTTTCAATCACTAATATCGTTGTTCACTGAAAGATTGTACTCGATTCAATTAAACCGTCACCAAAATCTGTCCTGTTCCACCATGCCCGACATTCCCGTCGGTGCGCAAGTATTCGACCTCGCTTTCCATCCAGACCGGTCTCTTGTTTTTGCTGGGCTTCTGACAGGGATAGTGAAGGCTTTCTCGTACGACGAACAAGGCAACCATGAGGAGAAGTTCTCCGTCCGGCCGACCAAGCGGTCATGTAGGACTCTCGCCGTGAGCGCAGACGGGTCGCAGTTGTGGGCTGCCGGGAAAGCCAAGGCAATACAGTGCGTCCAAAACTCCTTAGAAATAGCGTCCTTCACTCACTCTGTGTTGTAGCACGATAGATGTCGAAACAGGAGAGGTAGTAGAGACCCGCGCCGCCGCACATGAGTGAGTGCGTTCGCAATGTCCGCCGAGCACAGTTCCGCCGACCTGGGCAGTGCTTGCAAGTGTTACGATAAACCGTATGAAGCGATTACAGCCGCATCTATTGGCGTCCGGGGATGATGATGGGGTTATCAAGGTGCGGTTCGCGTCCACGGAGCGAGGTGCTGGTGCTTAGCCTCCGTTGCAGCTCTGGGATCCGCGGAAGCCGGATGCCGTTCGCAAGTACACACATCACTTCGACTTCATCTCGGACTTCATGTATTTGAACGACAAGAAGCAATTGGTAGCGACGAGGTGTGTATTTTCTCTTCCGACTGGAGGTGGGTAGGGTGGGCGAGGGGAACCCTGCGGTAAGGCCAAGGGCATGAGATTGTTGCACTGAACTCGCAGCCCGTCATACTCCTCTTACTGCTTTGCCGCATCAATCATGGAATCTGGGCTCGCAGATGGGTTCGAATACCCCATAGGACCTGACGGCCCATGGGCGAGCCCGATCCAGGTACATAGTTGCTACAGCAGGGAGCCTGCGGAGTTGAGCGGTTCGGGTTCTAACGATTGCGGGCTGCGTGAGGCTTACGACGAAGCGGGATATGGGCCGCGAATACACACTCCGTCACGGTCACTTTCTGTTGAAGCGAGAGCTAACGGATCCATAGTGGGGATGGCACCTTGTCCGTGATGGACATTCGGTCCAAGAAAATGGAGCCCGTCGCACAGTCGGAGGACCAGGAAGATGAGCTGCTCTCCATCCTGCCCATCAAAGGGTGAGTTCTTACCTCCAGTCTGTGGACGTACACTGAACCTGCTGCTGCAGAGGTCAAAAGATCGTGGTTGGTACGCAAATTGGCATCTTGTCAATATTTAACCGTAAAAGCGGCTGGGGTGATTGCGTCGACCGCATACCTGGGTAAGAGCTTCTCTTCTGGAGTCTCCTGGCCTTATTTTGACACGCCTCGGCGTTCATAGCCATCCCGCATCTATCGACGCGCTCTGCGCAATACCGTCGCGTTATCCAAACTCCCAGTCAACGATCCTTACTGGCTCGTCCGACGGTATTTTGCGCGCAGTTCAGCTCTTCCCAACCAAGCTTCTCGGCGTCGTCGCCGATCACGGCGAGTTCCCAATCGAACGTATAGCGGTCGACATGAACGGCGAAGGTCGTTGGGTCGGCAGCGTCGGGCATGAGGAAGTTCTCAAGTTGACGGACCTACAAGAGATCTTCGAGGACGGTGGTGAAGAAGACGGCGATGAGGACGGCGGTGAAGGGGATGAGGACGCTGACAGCGATGAAGAACGAACAAAACAGACTACGGACCCGACAACCTCCGCAAAAGTGCCTACTGACGACGAGTCGGCAGACGAAGTAGACAACGGCCAGGTCGACTCTAGTGACGAGGAGCAGCCTCAGCCTGCCAAGAGGAAACGCAAGAAGGAGCAGGACCCTCTGCTGGCGGGACGGCGTAAGAAGGGTAAGAACGAGGTTGAAGCCGAGCCGGCCTTCTTCGCAGACCTTTGAGTGTGTTTGTATGCATACGCCCTCCTCAATTGTATCTATCAGGACTTTTATCACCTTGTAAAATGTCGGCTACGCACCTGATGTGACCGGGTCTTGATGGCAAATGACGTCAGGGTGGAGTTCTGAGTCCCAAAGTGAGCTCGCAAGGTTGAGGGAAGAGGATGTCGAGCAGAACGTCGAGTACGATGTCGACGAGC